AGATCTCTGAAACACAGGATAGGGTCCCAGAATGTGTTTAAGAAGCTCCCCAGATGATGTTCCTAGTTAGTAAAACACTGCTGTGTAGGAAGTAACCGAGTTGGGAATTGACAGGATAGGAGGCTTTGGCAGACAGTAGTTTCTGAATTTAAGGTGCCTAAGGTAAGGCCACTCTCAGTGACGACAAGATTGAGAGTATGGCTGTGGAAGTGGGTGGAGTGGAGATGAAAGTGATGAGAGTTGTGAGTTGAAGGGCAAGGTTGTAGGACAGGCTCAGCCATTTGCAAGTCCAGTTGCGAAGAATGTGGCAAGATTTATGGTGGAAAGCCACTTTGGTTGTCAAAGTCAGTAGACAAGCAGTGACTATGAAGTCTCCGGGTGAGGCAAGGAGGAAGAGTAGATGGTGTTACACCAAGAAGGCATGTGGAGCTGGGCATGGTGGCTCCTGACTGTAGTCTCCGCAACTCAGGAGGCTGAGGTGGGAAGATGTCTTGAGCCCATGCATTCAAGGCTGCAGTGAGCTATGACTGTGCCATTGCACTCCAGCCTGGGTGACAGTGAGACCCCCATTTCTAAGACATAAAAAACATATAAATTTTAAAAAGGGCATGTGGATCAGGGGAGTGGGTTATTTTTACATGCAGTGCGAGAGCAGTAATTTGGAAGTACCATTAGAGGTGGAAACGATTCTTGACTCTCCTGACCTGAAGGAGCAGGGCTTTCTACAGAGGAACCAGAGAACAAAAACATTAATTCTTGGCTTTTGACATTTCAGAGGCTATGGTTTAGGTGTGTATCAGAAAGACTTGAAAGAATATATAATACATGACTACCCCTCCAGCCATCCCCAGCTCGCTTCCACTCCACACCCTTAGTCTAGAGGAAGGAAGAACTAAGAACTCTGGCTGGGGAAGAAGGAAGGAAGTACAAAAGCAGAGAATGCATACTGGGGACTGACAGTAACCAATAGGAGACTGACATGAATTCTTTAGTATTACACTTGTCTTTTTAATTAAACTGTAGGTTCATTGAAAGCAGTGAATATATTTAGCATCTTACACATCATTTTGTACACAATAAATTATTCTTACTTGCTATTAGTTGAACTGATTCTGTTAGGTAGATAGTGAGGGATTCTGGGTCTCCTAGGGACGAAAGTGGGTGCTGCTGCGATTCACCCCTGCCCAACAGGCTTTCAGAGAGGCTCATGGGAGATCTGCATGTGCAGTAAGACTCAGGTCATGCAACTCCCAACTGTCCGATCAAAGTGGTTCCATGGTGAAGTCTGAGCCACTAGGGAGGTCCCAATCCGGGCACTATTAAACAAGACGCAGACCATAACCAGGCCCTCTTCCTTTGGCTCTCCCTTTGCTGCAACTATGGGTCAGGTTGTCACCTGTGGTGTATGTATCATGCTCTGTTAACCTATATCTTGCTCTTGCCCTATAATCCTGCCTTTCTTTCCTCAATAAACCTCATTTTCGTACTTGCCTTACTTTGGTGTATCTGGTCATTCTTCAACCATGAGTGTGCCAAGAACCAACATTTCAGACTAAAACCTGACCATTCCTCAAAATGCTTCAAATTATCTCTTGCCTACAAATCTGGGTGGTTCCTTTGGATATTAAACACGCTATTAGTCTAACATGCTACTACATTTGTGTTTTATTCAAACATGTCAATTCCAAATTGTTCCGGTGCTTAAAGCCTCCTCCGGTACAAAGGTTCTCTAAATTTCCTGCTTCTCCTTTCTCTGTCAAAATCTACTTTCTAATGGAAGACTTTCTTTAGCTCCATCATCCATCTCACCAATCGTTTTAAGGTTTATTTTCTACAAATTTTAAAGCAACCATAGGTCCCTAATTTTTGCTATCAGTTTCTAATATTTTTTCCATAAATTATAAATTTTCCAAAAATATGTTGGTAAGCAGCAACCAAGTAAACATTTAACCAAATGTGCTTTTTATGCTTTTTATTTTTGAAAGATTTTCCTTCTATAGGCATATGTTAATAACATGTTTACTGACTTCTAAGAGCCATTCCTCTCAGCACTAGAGATGAAACAAAAGAAAGGAATTAACCAAAAAGAACACTTGTGCTGATTTCTGCCAGAAAACATGG